ATGACGTAAATAATTTTTTTGCTGTGTTTTTTTCCCAAAAAAATTTTCCCGAATTCATCAATTTCATCCACTTCAAAAACGTGCAATGTCACCTTAAAAAAAAACTGTTTTAAACAATGATAATAAACTTTACAACGCAGTATATTTTTATAAATTTTTACAAACTTTTCATTTCAGCCAGAACACACACATCATGCCTTTCCATCAGGCTCAAACTTTTTCATAAATCCCTAACCAATGTTAGCTAGAATGAATCAAACTTTTTTTCCAGCTCTACAAACATCAACTTTTATTTCACTTTACTGTCTCTTTTTACATCCATTGACGATTTCGCCATTTTATTGTAGATTAATGAAATCAATTTGAGCAAAAGAAAAAAAAAGTTACAAAATATTTGAAAAATCTATACAACTAACACTATTAGCAAGAAAAAAACCCAATTATTCTGCATCACAAAATCGCACAACAGCCACCCGTTGTGGTGACCGTCATTCTAGGTGGCTGCTGCATGCCCTCAACCACAACGGTAGTTGGTGGCGGCCTCGGCTGCGCGTTAACGTACACAGTTGGTGGCGGCGGCTGTGGGCGTCCTTCAACAATAACCACATTGGCGCCTTGTGGTCGCGGTGGCGGTCCAACGTTGATATTTACTTGAGCGCGTTGAGGTGGCGGTCCATAGCCGGGTGGTGGCGGCTGTCCATAGCCGGGCGGTGGCGGCCCATAGCCAGGTGGTGGTGGCATGCCGAGCTACTATGTACTATGTTGTGTGGTGATGGATGTGTTGATTGTGATGTGTCAAAATGGCACAAGAACGAAAACCAAAAAACGTCAAAACAAATATTTGCGTTTAAGGCTGCTGTTGAAAATGAACAGCAACTGTTCTGCTCGCCACTGCAGTGATGGACTGACTGAACATTGGTATTTTGCTGGTCAATGTTTGCTAATTTGTATTTTTGTGGTGAAAAAAAATATGGAAAATAATTGAGTTCTACTTTTTTTACCCACTTCGACGCATCAATCAATTTGCAATTAAAGGCTTAAATATACATTTGCTGGCAAGCGTGCATATGCGCGAATGTACGAGTATGCAGGGAGATATTACAGATATTATTGTACGCACTACAAAGTATGATATTATCTTATCTCAGTGAACTAAGGCGATGATATGGATATTAAATGCTTCATGAGCAGGTACATTCATATCTGTATTACATACCTACATATGTATGTATGAAAACCGATGCGTCAACTGTGCTTCGCGTCGACTGATAAGCGCCAAAATTGGTGACAAGTACGATTATCGAAAATTTTTTTTTATAAAATTTACCAAAAACAGAGATTCTATTGAATATGCATTTTATAATGAAATCAAATAGGTTTGATATACTATCTATATTAAGCCCAATTATTTTGAGCAAGAAAAACAGTTGTTTTAAAACTTTAATTTTTTTTAAATTGATGTTGTTACTCTTTTTTAAATAAGGCTTTTAATTTACTTTTGTATGGAAAAAAGACCAAAAGGTTCCGACTAGATCCTGCTTAATCTTTCCCCGAAATCGGTGTTGTGCATTGAAGGATTCGAAGTAGTGAATTAACTCTCAAGCTATTCTTGTTGATTCACAAAGTGATCGTTGACCACTTATAGTGGAAAAATTGTTATTTTGCGTTTTCCGAATTTACTAAATTTTATGTTTTCATAACACTGACTCCACAGCAACGGAAGTAAACACTTACTTAAAAATTTTAAATTTTACAAACTTAAGAGCACGAAAAATTGTGTTTTAAAAAATCGTGGAACAACTTTTACGATTCCGATTGAGCTTTTCTGGCTCTGTTAGAAAAGCAGCAACATCTAATCTATAGAAATGTTAGCCGCTATTTTGGAAGTCGCTACGTCTGCTCACCAGACTCTTTTCAAGTCTTTAGCTGGAATCGGAGTCGTGCCACTTAATTTGAAAAGCGCGCGGCCTAAGCTATACTCTACCTGCAAATGATGTATGCACATACATACATATATATTTTGGCACAATTATTATGCAAAATAAGGCAGATATGTCATCGAATGCATTAAGTTAGATGCGAAGCAATGCCAAGAAAAAGACACACGCATTCAGGAGTCTTATATTTTACACTACACAAGCAAGGCGCCTGCCGACGGTCGAAGCCCAGCTGGCACACTTTTGGCAGGGTTTCATCTTTTGTTTAACTACTTATGCGCTCCAGACATTTAGTTTCTTCACTTTTTGGTACTCCAACACGTTCGTACCACGACAAAGCACTTTATCGTTTTCATTGTAGTTTTTTCTTCTTCTCTTTTTATATTTCGCTCCCACGTAGCTTGTTTTTACTGCTCATTTTCTCTTTTTTACTTCCCTTACTGCTTTTTTGTTTTTTTTTTTTTGGTCTTATCCCCAGTGACTTAGTGACACTTTTTCATGCCGTGCCTGCTTTATTCATTCTTATCGTTTGGTTTTGCTGTTGTCTATTCATTAAAGATTCAGGTTACCAGTGCCAAAAGCAGTGCAACGTTGATGTAGTAAAAAGAAGTTCCGACAATGGGCGTCAGCATCTAACAGTATAGCCATTATGTACACCACCATCGTTTGGCGATGGTGAGTCTTTCTTTCTCTGTGCCAACCTCCGCAATTGTTGCTTTAACAGCCACTGTGCTGCTACTAAATACTCCTACTACTATTCCAACTTGCACTCCTGTTACACTCAGTGCTACGTAAGCTGCTTCTTTTACTACCACTGCACTGTTGTTTTTTGCGACTCAGCTATTCTAGCACTTCATTTTTATTATTATTTTTTGTTCACATTGCTTTTGTTATTTCATGTTGCTCCTTTTCTACTCCACTTGAAACTAGCCGCTTTGTATATTTCTGCTAGGGAAGCGGAAGAAAGAGCAACTTACTGGGAGACTCACTTTTTGGCGCTTCCTTAGCTGCCAGTCTTTTGTTGGATTTGTTGTCCCAACGCGCAGATTAGTTTGTTTAAAAATTCAAAGCGGAAGCTACTACCATTCAGTTTTTCAGTACGTTTTTTTGGTGAAGACCTCCTTTGTTGCATAGAAGGAGTAGCAGCACAGTAGAAGCACCACAAAGTAGTTGCATCGCCTCGTTGGCGAGTGCTGTTGAACCTTTAAGTGGTTAGTGGCGGTGTAGTAACGTAACCGAAAACGTGCCAAATAATACCGCTAAAAGCGTAGTAAAATGAGGAAAGCAGTTATTGAGTTCCGGGAGCTAGTTCATTGCCCTATCTGACAAATAAAAACTTTGACAAATTATAGAGTTGTGAGGNTTTTTCCAGAACCCTCTCAACATAATCTTTAAATTTAGGGGCGGACATTGGCAACTTTTTTTTTTTTGTATGGGGACCGACCCAGTCTAATATACATATATGCAACTACGCATATCTATATATGAATTTATATTCAGCCNGCGTCAATATATAAATAAGTAATTTACACTGAAAATATACATATATACATATATGCAACTACGCATATCTATATATGAATTTATATTCAGCTTGCCATTTAGCCTATTCAGCTATTTATCTAAGTAGTCATTCAACACTACTCACTCACAATGCATTGCATATCTAAAAAAGGCGTGCCAGTCAGTAGTAACTCTTTCAAAACTGCCATCTGTCCAGTTCATTTACTTGGCTAATCAGTCAGTCAGTTAGTGGGCCAATTTTGTAGGCGTACACTGTAGGTCATTTATTGCATTTGCATGGCATGGAAAAGGCGTGTTTTACTTAGTTGGAGTTTTTCTTTCATTAGCACTTTCGAATGGATTTGTATGTCCGCTAATAAATTTGAATACCAGCATACAAAGGCTGCTTAAAAGTAATTCTAACAGTGGGATATCATTCAATCCCTGTTCTGTCTGTATTTGGGTATGCCGCTTGGTAGTTGATGCTTTGTAATTTAGATATATACTTTGAATATGTATGTATTTAAATATTCATTTTAAGCCAATTCGTATAAGTGAATGTTCGTAGATGCACAGACTAGTTTTTTCGTTTTACTGCTTGGAAGTTTTTACGCTGTCACAGCCCTAGTATTCTGTTCCTAAGTGGCCTAAATAAAGCGGCTAATTAGACTCACATTCACTTTTTTTAGAACACATTTATACATGCATGTATACGATAGCGATAGAAGCTGACCTAATGAGTCAGACAACAAATTAAATACCGTTTCTTTACTGTTCTATTTGATTTATTTAGATGGCCAAAGCTGCCGTTCTATTCTACAAGTATGGATCCTTGGCTATTACTTCCTTGTTTGCATAGAAACTGTAATTAGATTTGTTTTTATTTGCTCGATGGTGTATCGCAGTACCACTGCTACAAATTAATCCAAACAAGCCTCCGACGTACCCAATTCATTCGCTCTTTTATGGTTATATAAGTTCCTTTGTTTGGGAATGCCTAGAAGAGCGATGAACCTTGACTGAGCCACTGAGCATATCTCCATTTTGCATTTTTTACCTAACTTTGGTACCAATACCTGCTGTAGCTATAAGTGCAGTCCAGCTATCATAATAACGCAACACATATTACTAGAATTTTAGCTTGCAAAATGTTAGCGTGGTTTGCCAGCCGCAAGTACTAGTCGATACTAAAGTCTTTGGAATAGACTTCTAACTCTTGAACCCGTCAGTGTATATACAGTTACTTAGCTTAAAAGCTTGACCAATTCCCCATTCTTGTTTTCTACTGTATGGCTTAATACATATAGCGGTGTAATTCGAATAAATAGTTTTGTTCGGAGTTAAGACTTCAATACTCACAAATATTTCACATTGGTTTTACATGGGTTTAAATCACAATTACTACATGTAGCCTACTGTAAACTGCCTGGTGCGTACTGTAACTGCTGTTACGTGGTAAATTTCTTGAGTTACCGTAGTTTTTCTTTATTTGTGTGTAACTTTTTCGATTAGTTTCTAAGTAATCCAAGAAATATGCATATTTATCATCTTCAAACTCACCCAGGATTCATTTTCGCCAACAATTGCGATCGTATACGATCCCTTTCCGTCACCGATGTCGGTTGTGCTGATATTTCATTTTGACGTTCACGTTCAATGCTCGCCGAAAGTTCATTATTAGTGATGGTAGAGCTGCGGAAAATATGAATAAAAAAGTTTCGTAACTGAAGATTTACAAAAATAATATATATACNGCTGCGGAAAATATGAATAAAAAAGTTTCGTAACTGAAGATTTACAAAAAAATATATATATATGTATCGTTACATAGATAAAACTGTACTTCAATTTTAAGGTCATGTAATCTAACCGAGAACCGACTAACACAAGTCTGTAATACTGGATACTGGAATACCTTAAGAGCGTTTTGAAAGCTTCTCACGCTTTTAAAAGCTATATCCACTCAAAGTTAAGCCCTATCAGTGCATTTAACTCAGTGCAGTTAACTCCAATTTCTGTGCACACGAACTCTTAAAAACAAGCAACAAAAACTATGGCACGAAGCACCTAGGAGATTTGTCTCTAACCCGACCTGAAGGATTCGTTGGTACCCTTTTTTCTGTAAGCATCAAGGTACTCGTAATCTGTTTAATTGATGGAGGTGTTTTCAAATATTGGATTGACTTAAGAACATAAACATCCACAAACTCTTCAGCCAAAAGTTACCAACCGATTCAGACGAACAAATTGAACAAACGGTATCTACAGTTTGCTTGGAAATAAATATTTTGACGAAATATTAGCTGAAATTTTTTGGTGGAGCACGAAGACACACGGATACTGAGATAAAGATGTAGAGAAGGAAGTAGTGGAACCTAATGTAAACGATTTACTGGATGATTTCATGAATGTGAATGTTTTTAATAACTTTTGTTCTAATTTATAGGCCATCTAGGTGTAGGCTACCAGATCGCCAATCAGCCGGGAAAATTAAGTTCGGAACATTAGTATGTGTAAATTTTTGCTTATCGGCTTGAGTGGAGAGTCTTTTTGAAACCATCACAGTAGCCAGGTGGTGGCCACGAAGACCCTTGACGATTCCTCCAAAGTTAAAATTTGTTCGTCAGTAAACATGTCTAGGAAGTTGGCATACGGTATGACACAAAACAACAACAAAAAAACGTTGTTCTTCCAATAGTTCTATAGTTCTTGAAAAAGCAGAGCAAAAGTTCTGGATATTTTGACAAAAAAAAAAATGTTTCAAAAATCGTGTATGCCAGATTCACGCCGGTATATTTTTGAAAAAATAAAATAGAAATCATAGCTGTTCTGAGTAACTCTTCAATAGTTCTGGACTTCGAGAAGGAAAAGGAAATTTATGCAAAATTAAGCCGAAGAAAAACTTTTTTTTAAGTCAAAAAAGTAAAATGTGTGAAAAAAATAAAAATTATAACTGTTCTAAGCAGCTCTTCAATAGTTCTGGACTTCCTGAGAAGGAAAAAGAAAGTTCTTCAAAATTTGCCGAAAAAATACATTTTTTTTAATCAAAAAATAAAATTTTTGAAAAAAAAAATTATAACTGTTCTGAGTAGCTCTACAATAGTCCTAGAGTTCCTGAGAAGGAAAAAGATAGTTCTGCAAAATTAAGCCAATAAAAAAAAACATTTTTTTTAATAAATAAAAATTATAACTGCTCAAGTAGCCCTTCAATAGTCTTAGAGTTTCTGAGAAGGGGAAAGATAGTTCTGCAAAATTAAGCCAATAAAAGAAAAATTTTTTTTGTAAGTCTAAAAAGTTATATTTTTGAAAAATAAATAAAAATTATAACTGTTCTGCGTAGCTTTTCAAAAACTTCCTTTCTCCTTTTCTGTCTTTTTGCGTCATACCGTATGCCAGCTTCACTGACATTCAGTAAACAGAATTCGTCTGAGATCGTTTTTCGAGTACCAGAGAAATAAGGCTGTTGATTTTGACTTAAGATTTTGTTTCAGAGCTTATGTAAGTAAGTGCATGGTGCGTCTCTCATATGAGCTAAATCCCAGGTCACTTTTTATGATGTAGATATGCTGTCGTTACAGACATTAATTTACCCGAGACGTAATTTCTTGCTTATGCAGCAGATTTCAATGGAATCTATTCCAAGGCATAACAAGGTAGAAGTGATTTCGATATTTCTTTTTTTTTGAACTGCGACTGAAATGTCAACTCTTAACTCTATACTATTCAAAAATTTTTTTTTATATAAATTTTCAATTGTGAGCTGTGCGACTGATTTTAAGTACATAATAAAATGAAAAGGAATTGCGATCGGTGCGTTGTGTTTGTCAAGAGTCTGGACAACAAATTTGTGCGTTATTTAAAACCTTCGAATTGTCAAGTGAAGCGACAACGATGTTCTGCGATGTTTCATTAGGAGACTCTTCACGTGTGGTCGTGACTTTATTTGTTGCCTATCGCAGCCGAGTATTTCCAAGTGGACCCGTTTGGTCCCAGGTGCAGGATTTATCATACCGAATATGAAAAGAAAATCTTCCTTTCATATACATATGTACATGGATAGGCCAAATTTCAAATAGTGGTCTGATAAAACCTAAACCAGTATTCCTTGTAGACATAAAGAAACTGAAAGTAATTTTTAATAAATTTAATGGAATGGAAATTTCGAATAGCAAAAATTTAATAGCTAAATTATTGAAGTTAAGTTCTGATGTAAATTTAGAACAATCAAACTTTTTTTAATGTCTAATATACTTTAGAACTAAGTATTTGAATAAAAAAATAAATGCTCAAAAACATTGGGAGAGTAAAAGCAAGAAAATTGTCAAAATGGTTTTATAAATGAGTGTGTTTCATTTAGTGTGTAATTTTGTGTAAGTATGCACTTCCACATTTACATTAAACCGATAATTCAATAAATAAAATGAAGCTGATTCTTATGAGATTTTAAATATTTTCATATTTACAAAAACTTTCATTTCAAAGATGTTGAGTTCTATCAAATATGGTAAATGCATAATAAAGGATTAATTTCTTGGTTTAAATTTTTTGACATTACAGTCAGGTATGAGAGAGCTCCACTGAATTGTCACTTCTACCTTGTTGAATATGCCTTGATCTATTCTCTACGGCTTTAAATACGTTTGGGGCGTTCACACAACGGGGAGACGCACAGTGCTGTGGCTCCATATAAAATGTGGCCAAAAATACAATTATGGACGGAGTTAAATGAAATATCACATAAGTTGTATTTTTGACAATTTTTTCCGGGTAAAGCCCAAAGCTCTGACTAAAATATTTTGTTTAAAATACGTCAATTTCAAGTGCAACAACATTACGTCTATATTTGGGACACCAAAATTTTTGATCTTTGCCCGCTCGCACAGCACTGTGAGACGGCCAGATTTTCTACGGTCAACTCTGCCACCAGCCTCCAGTTGAAGTCATGCACCTAAACATTTGCATGTACTAATACTAGTAAGCTTGTGAATTCGGAGTTATCTTGTTTTTGTCTACCTCTAAATTCCCTTTCTTCTAGTTTTTTTTTTATGACTTACTCATGTTCAGCTTCTAAATGCGTTTGCGTCTTAACCGTCTCATATTTGCGATCATCTTCGGCAAAGTTGAAAACTTCACTTAGCTCGTACTCCTTCAACTGCAAAAATAAATAAAGAAAAATTAGATAAAAGAAACGGGCGAAAAGTAGAGCAGAATCAGACACACACGCTTACATATATGTACATACATACTTAGTAAAACAAAGTTAAAAAAGTTTAAGGCAGTGAGCAAAATAAAGAATTTGGCACAAATTTAATCACTAAAGCTCCAACTAAATTAAACATTATCTCTATATAGGCATGTGCATATGTACATATTTATTTTGTGTATGTATGTTTATGTGCTCACTGACAAAAGACGCGACTAAAATGGCCAATTAGCGCGGCAATCAGCTTAAATGGAAAATGCTTAAAACAGCTCAGCTCAGCTCAGACGGGAAGTAGCAACAAAGTGTAGGCGTTAACTAAACAAAAGTGAAAAGTATCTACTTATTGCAAATGAGTGTGTATGTAAGTGTGCGAGTTTGCACGAATGTGTGCGCGTTTTTGTTTCCCTGGCCTTAACAATTAATTTTATTTTGACAGACACTCAGGTTGGTAAATTCTATTGTTAACTTTTTTGCTCCGCTTTTGCTTTTGTTTTCATTCATTTTTTCGAGTAGTGTTAGCTTTGAAACATGGACAACACAGATACATTCTTGGTAGAATAGCTACTTTTTAGTCATTTTTATAATATGACTCAATATGTGCTGACATGTAAAAGCTTTTCAAAAATACATACCACATTCTTAGCTTTTATTGTCCTACTGAGGGTTAACAATTTTAGTTAACTTTAAAGAAGAGGGAGTTTACAGTTCGGCGGAGAATATTTTTTTTTTGTATGTTCACCGTTAACTTCTGACAATGCGAACGGATTTCAATGATTCTCTTTTTATAGGAAAGGTGTAAGCTTAAAGCTAGTCGAGTTCTGACGATCGCTTATTGACAAAATAACGGTAGCATTTTTTAATTATTTGGTTAATATTAGTTACCTTACATAATGATCTCACCGGAAATCACTGTCCAAACTCCTTTTATTTCCATTTTGAGGACCGGATCAACGTAACCTACAACACGTAGCGAGAGCTTTCCCTCAGCTTTACTCTAGTTACAGTGGATCTCTACCCCAGCAGAAGATCCTTTTTCTCCGTTACTCGTACGACTTATTGTGGATACAAAACGATTAGTGCTTCTCATAAAAAGTCGACAGTTTTAAGAACCTCTACCTCAACTAGAGCTACAGTAACACCAAGCTCTATAGCATGCTAACCGCTGATACGAGAAGTCCAAAAGCGTATTTCGGTAAAATAAAGTAAAAAAGTGTATTATTTAACGTTATGTGCTTTCCAATAATTCCGTGGGCTACAGTCAAAATACCTCAGTGGCGGCTGCGAAAATTGCAAAATCCTAAGAGCCCGGCTGTGATGTATAAAATAGCCTATGTAAGTGTACCCCGGAGCTCTTCTGAAAATTGTTTAGGCCCGAAATTTCTCATAACGACCTACGGTGAGAATCTGGGTGCCAACGCACATCTTGGATACGCTCAAAGCTTTTAATCCAGGCATTAATAATAATAATAGACTGGCGCTTACACATATATTAGTTTTTGGCCAAGCTTCTCCTCCGATTTGTTGTGTTATCAATCACAGCGCAGGGACCTAAAGTTTTACGCCGACTCATGGCAGAAATACACTCAGAGGTTTGCCATTGCCTGCCGATGGGTGACCGCTGTTAAAAAAAAAAAAACATTTTTTTCTAGAGTCTTTTTTGCGATGTTGCTTTGACCCAGGCCTTGCGCGCACTGTTGACACAGCGGTCGTCAAGGCATTATTAACCAACAAAAGAAAGCGAGTAATACGAAAATCCGGTTCGAGCACCAATGCAGTTACTCTCGCTTCTCACTCTAATCCTCTAGTTACACTGTAGGGAAAGTCTCAAGTTTTTAAATGACACAAAAAAAGACGAAACGTAGATTACGAACATGTATTCTGTTTTTCTAGATCAGGCCATTTTCTGAAGTTATTTTAAATTTTTATGGAAAAAATATCAAATTTTTGGAAATAAATCAAGCAACTAACCAAGAAAATCTATGAATAATAAAAACATTCCGAATGGTCAAACAAAAATCTAATAATTTTTTTGGACGAAATGCGAAATATATATAAGCAGGATAGAATGTTACTCATACGCCATGTATGTACGTATGTATACAGAGTTGGACAAAATTTATTCGAATGACGATTAACAAATATATAAATTCTTGTTTTCGTTATTCGTAAATAATAAATAATTAATTTTATTGAAAAAAAATGATTCGAATGATGGATAAATAATTTTATTTATTTATTGGAACTTCAATGCTCATATAAAACTTTAATACAAAATTTAGATGTTTTTAATATCGATTGTTTTCATCCAGTATTTCATCAACCCGACAAAGTGTATCTTGCAACTGTAGCAGCAGAGTATTCACCGTTAAGTTCCATAGGAGGCAAAGGGTACTGCCATGAGAAGAGCCCCTTTTTGCATATCCAGTTAGACCTCTGCATGACCCAAAAATCCAATTCTAGCCAGCAATGTTTATCGTCAACCAAAAGCACTAAAGCTTTGTACCCATTTACTCGTATATACTATATTCATTCATTAAATTTTTCTTACCTGCATTTTTATGCTTCCTTTCTATTTCTAGTTCTCCTACTCTTGCTCTTGATTTTCAATTTTTCTTGTATTACAGAAAAGCTCAACATCGCCGTTCAGCCTTCTACTTAATATTACTTGAGTTTTCTTCTTTTTGTCCCAAAGAAATCTTTCTACCAAACAAAAAATTTTCTCTTCCAAAAACTATTCAATAAATTCCTTTCTCAATAAACTTCTTGTTTGTTTTCGGGATTGAAATTCTTCTAACAACAGACTTTCAGGCTCACCTACAACTTTCTGGTATAAGTGCTACCAATAAATTCCTGTGCTATTTGCTCGCTCTCTCACCCACACATGAGTTTACTCACACTATCGCATTGCGCTTCAAATAATTTGCTCGCAAAGTGGCTCCAACTTTGAGCGACTGGCGGTAGCCGCAACATCTCCAATGTGTGGTGTCGCGCATTTTAATTTGTTTTTAGCTTTGCAACAGCACTACTATGCAATTATGTACTGTAATTTTGTTGTCGTTGTTTTTGTGTTTTGTTTTTGCTTGTTATTGCCTGTTGACTTAAGCACAACGAGCATAGTTTGTTAAGTATTTGTTTGTGGTTACCATCACACTTTTGCGCTTATCGTTTCTGCTATTTGCTTGTCGTCGTGGTTTGGCGTTACTTCGTCGTTGAGTTTTCTTCCATGTTCACAAGCAAACAATCGATTTACTTTCTTGGAAGTATATATATGTTTGTATGTTTGTATGTGGACTTTTCTTTCTCTTTTGATCAAGCTTCATTGCCTTAGCTTTTCTATTTGCTTTACTTACATACTTACATTTAAGCAAATTTTTACTGCTACATACATATATATAAAAGCAGACTTTAACACCTTTTCCTTCGGCGGGCTTGTGGAGAGAAAAAACCAAAGCAAAAACGCAAACAAAAAACATCGCTAGCAGCCAATAACCATTCCGCCCAGCAGGCAACCAGCCGATCCATAATCCCTACGAAAGCTGTGAAATTTTCTACGCTGGATTATCGTAACGCTGAAAATTCCTTACCGCAGAGATTAAGTGCGATTGGAATTTGTAAATGAGCTAAGCGCCAGGCGGTGCGGCAGCAACTGTGAGCAACATAACTGATTCGATGCCTTGAATGCAATGTTTGCCATGGTTGTAGGAGTAATTACTGGTGGCGTAAGGTCGTGCAAATATTCAGATTCTTTGCAGAAATCTGTGTTACTTTGCTAGCACGGACGATTATTTGTTTGTTCAATGTTTTGCTGCTCAGAAATGGTTATTTCGGTTGCCGCTTTTAGCCAAGTTTTTTAGGTGGTTGTTGCAAATTTTTAAATGAGGTTAAAGTGGCTCTCTTCTGCTTATGAAGCAGTTTGTGGTTGATTAAAATTAAAAAACAAAAGCAAAATTATTTAATATCCTATCCTATTAATATTATAAATATGCAAGTTTGTGAGTGAGTGTGTGTGAGTTTGTTGCTCCTCAATGCAAAAATGTATTTCACGTATTTTAATGAAATTTTACACATGCCACCGTTTCCTAAAATTAATTAATAATAAGTTAAATAGAATTTTAAAACAATGTGGGTGTCAAACGAAGACGGTTGAAACACGATTTATTTTCAAAATATTTTTGAAGAGAGTTGCCACCGATTTGCAAAGTTAAAACCAAGTTAACAAGTTTATTCGAATATTTTAATATTAATATCAAGCGAGCGAAGCTTAACAGCCAATTTCACGAAAGCTATTTAAATGAAAAATGATTTAAATTTTTTGAGTTTTGTATGGAAATTGACAGAAAATAAAAAATCATTTTCCATTTAAATTGCTGGTGAAATCGGCTTTAAGGAAGCTTTATTTCGAAAAAAAATTTAACCTGTTTGGAGATTTAAATTTCAAAATTCAAAATCAATTTAATAACCAATTAAATAAATAAATATGAAAATCGAGCCCTAACCGTAAAAAAAATGCAGCAACATTTTTTAAACAAAAAAATTACTAACCGATTTTAAAAAAATTGGTATCGTTGGAACCTTTTGAGAAACATATTTAGGTGAAAATCGAAAAGATTTTGAGTAGATTTTAAGATAGTTGCCCCCTTTTTATTAAATTCAGAATCAATTTAGTTAACAAGTTGAACGCAAGCAGCTAAGCAAAACTTTTGCTCCAAAATATTTTTGAAGTGGGTGGCTACTTGTTTTACAAGTAAAATTAAATCCCCAGTTTCACCAATTAATTTTAAAATTTATTAGACTGCTAAAATTTAAAATGACAAATTTTCCGAGCAAATTTGTGTAATTTAACCGGGCATAAGTTTGATAATTGAATTATTACATTGAGGTGGCATACATTTTACACTATATTCAGGCCGGTTCTGCAATTCACTTCTGAGTGAATTTCAATAAAATGC